TTCGATCAAAATCTACAGAAAAGAAAACATAATAACGGTAATCACACTTCTCAAGAGAAATAATACACGGGGCTTTTTTTTATATATATATATATATATATATATGGAAGCGAAGGAAAAATTCTATCGACAGTATAGGGAAATATGAAAGAATCGAAGTTGTGAGAGGGGTGAGATGGGGGGGGGGTGTCCACAGGAGAGAAAAGAAGAGAGTTTTTGAGAAGAGAGGTAGTAGTAGAAGCTACACGAGGGTCGCTTCGGCGAAGCCGTAGACTTTCGACCCTCCCTATAACATCGTTTCTCATCCCCCCCTTTTTCCTCCACCCACAAGTATTCCGAAGCGTCTCTTGCCTCCTCTCTCATACTTCTCTCTTAAACCCTCACTCCCTCCCACCCCTTTCCCTCTTTTCCAGGTTCTCTCTTGCCACCCTCGATATTAAAAATTTCAATATCCTAGCCCCAGGGGTGGAAAACACATAATGTATTCAGGTGACGTCCCGGCCATTCTATCGGCGAGAAAAACGTACAGTTTTTCAGGAGGAATCGAATCCCGCACACTCACCCCTCTTTCTCTCTCGTGTGTCACCCTCAATTCCAACGCGTCTCTCTTCAGTCTTTTCTCCCACAGGAAGTTCCTTTGTCTCATCCTGTCCTGCATTTTATGTGTTGTTGTGTATATATTTCCTCGTTTCTACATATTCTACCCCTTTCTCCTCTCCTCCCCCCTTTTTTCGAATCGTCCTGACACTCTTATATATATTCTTTTCTTTATTTTCTTTTTTTTTTTTTTTTGGTTTTACATTGCGCTAAAATTCACTGACGGTCTTTAAATCTTTATGTATAGTGAGAGTGTCAACAATATATGCCTGCTGCACTTTGATTAATGCAAATCCATGGAATCGACTACCCTCGTTCAGCGAAGTGTTAGAATTTGCAGGGACCGTTTCCGCTTTTGTGTTTTGCTTTTTAATCTACCGTGTAATTAACGAAATGAAGCTTTCCTTCTTTAAATTGTCATGCAGTCAGAGAGTACAGAATTTTTTTTTTTATATCCTCGTTTTATCCCAAATTGTTAATATTGATAAATTAAAATTATTATTTATAAAACAAATTCTCTAATTTTTACATCATTTATTTACAGAACCTTGAAAAATCGCAAATCTGAAATAAATAAAACTAACGTATACGGCGGGGATCGAACCTATGACCTACGGACTTGAAACTCAACGCACTAACCACTACACTACGCAAACTATACAGTTAACACAGTTAAACCCCGCGTGAAAAACGAACTATGGGAAAAAGCTATCAAAAGCTGGCAAAAGATGGGAGAAGATTTTCGCCATTGTTTTTAAGTTTTATCCCATACTTCAAAGAATTGCAAAAAGCTCACAAACCATTGCTTATGAGCCTTTCCCATACTTTTTTTTTATCATATAACATTGCTAAAATCTTGCCAAAGTATTGCAAAAATATGGGAATAAAATAAAGTCAATTTTTTCTAACTTACTTCTTATTTTTCTCATTTTTTTTTCTGAAAATCATTGCAAAACAATGGGAAAAAGATTAAGAAAGAAAAAATTTATTTTTCTCATTTTTTCATCTTTAAAAATTAGATTTTTAAAGTATTGCTAAAACCTGGCAAAAATATACGAACAAAATTAATCAATTTTCCTCTATTTTTCAACTTTAAAAATTGGATTTTTAAAGTATTGCAAAAATATGGGAAAAAGATTGGAAAGAAAAAACCAATTTTCCTCTATTTTTCAACTTTAAAAATTGGATTTTTAAAGTATTGCAAAAATATGGGAAAAAGATTTTGAAAGAAAAAATCAATTTTCCTCTATTTTTCAACTTTAAAAATTGGATTTTTAAAGTATTGCAAAAATATGGGAAAAAGATTGAAAAGAAAAAACCAATTTTCCTCTATTTTTCAACTTTAAAAATTGGATTTTTAAAGTATTGCAAAAATATGGGAAAAAGATTTTGAAAGAAAAAATCAATTTTCCTCTATTTTTCAATTTTAAAAATTTGATTTTTAAAGTATTGCAAAAATATGGGAAAAAGATTGTGAAAGAAAAAATCAATTTTCCTCTATTTTTCAACTTTAAAAAATTGATTTTTAAAGTATTGCAAAAATATGGGAAAAAGATTTTGAAAGAAAAAATCAATTTTCCTCTATTTTTCAACTTTAAAAATTTGATTTTTAAAGTATTGCAAAAATATGGGAAAAAGATTGGAAAGAAAAAACCAATTTTCATCTATTTTCCAACTTTAAAAATTTGATTTTTAAAGTATTGCAAAAATATGGGAAAAAGATTTTGAAAGAAAAAATCAATTTTCCTCTATTTTTCAACTTTAAAAATTGGATTTTTAAAGTATTGCAAAAATATGGGAAAAAGATTGAAAAGAAAAAACCAATTTTCCTCTATTTTTCAACTTTAAAAATTGGATTTTTAAAGTATTGCAAAAATATGGGAAAAAGATTTTGAAAGAAAAAATCAATTTTCCTCTATTTTTCAACTTTAGAAATTTGATTTTTAAAGTATTGCAAAAATATGGGAAAAAGATTTTGAAAGAAAAAATCAATTTTCCTCTATTTTTCAACTTTAAAAATTGGATTTTTAAAGTATTGCAAAAATATGGGAAAAAGATTGGAAAGAAAAAACCAATTTTCCTCTATTTTTCAACTTTAAAAATTGGATTTTTAAAGTATTGCAAAAATATGGGAAAAAGATTTTGAAAGAAAAAATCAATTTTCCTCTATTTTTCAACTTTAAAAATTTGATTTTTAAAGTATTGCAAAAATATGGGAAAAAGATTTTGAAAGAAAAAATCAATTTTCCTCTATTTTTCAACTTTAAAAATTTGATTTTTAAAGTATTGCAAAAATATGGGAAAAAGATTTTGAAAGAAAAAATCAATTTTCCTCTATTTTTCAACTTTAAAAATTTGATTTTTAAAGTATTGCAAAAATATGGGAAAAAGATTGGAAAGAAAAAACCAATTTTCATCTATTTTCCAACTTTAAAAATTGGATTTTTAAAGTATTGCAAAAATATGGGAAAAAGATTTTGAAAGAAAAAATCAATTTTCCTCTATTTTTCAACTTTAAAAATTTGATTTTTAAAGTATTGCAAAAATATGGGAAAAAGATTGTGAAAGAAAAAATCAATTTTCCTCTATTTTTCAACTTTAAAAAATTGATTTTTAAAGTATTGCAAAAATATGGGAAAAAGATTTTGAAAGAAAAAATCAATTTTCCTCTATTTTTCAACTTTAAAAATTGGATTTTTAAAGTATTGCAAAAATATGGGAAAAAGATTGGAAAGAAAAAACCAATTTTCCTCTATTTTTCAACTTTAAAAATTGGATTTTTAAAGTATTGCAAAAATATGGGAAAAAGATTTTGAAAGAAAAAATCAATTTTCCTCTATTTTTCAACTTTAAAAATTTGATTTTTAAAGTATTGCAAAAATATGGGAAAAAGATTTTGAAAGAAAAAATCAATTTTCCTCTATTTTTCAACTTTAAAAATTTGATTTTTAAAGTATTGCAAAAATATGGGAAAAAGATTTTGAAAGAAAAAATCAATTTTCCTCTATTTTTCAACTTTAAAAATTTGATTTTTAAAGTATTGCAAAAATATGGGAAAAAGATTGGAAAGAAAAAACCAATTTTCATCTATTTTCCAACTTTAAAAATTGGATTTTTAAAGTATTGCAAAAATATGGGAAAAAGATTTTGAAAGAAAAAATCAATTTTCCTCTATTTTTCAACTTTAAAAATTTGATTTTTAAAGTATTGCAAAAATATGGGAAAAAGATTGTGAAAGAAAAAATCAATTTTCCTCTATTTTTCAACTTTAAAAAATTGATTTTTAAAGTATTGCAAAAATATGGGAAAAAGATTTTGAAAGAAAAAATCAATTTTCCTCTATTTTTCAACTTTAAAAATTTGATTTTTAAAGTATTGCAAAAATATGGGAAAAAGATTGGAAAGAAAAAACCAATTTTCATCTATTTTCCAACTTTAAAAATTGGATTTTTAAAGTATTGCAAAAATATGGGAAAAAGATTTTGAAAGAAAAAATCAATTTTCCTCTATTTTTCAACTTTAAAAATTTGATTTTTAAAGTATTGCAAAAATATGGGAAAAAGATTTTGAAAGAAAAAATCAATTTTCCTCTATTTTTCAACTTTAAAAATTTGATTTTTAAAGTATTGCAAAAATATGGGAAAAAGATTGGAAAGAAAAAACCAATTTTCATCTATTTTCCAACTTTAAAAATTGGATTTTTAAAGTATTGCAAAAATATGGGAAAAAGATTTTGAAAGAAAAAATCAATTTTCCTCTATTTTTCAACTTTAAAAATTTGATTTTTAAAGTATTGCAAAAATATGGGAAAAAGATTGGTAGTGAAAAAATCAATTTTCCTTATTTTTTAAACTTTAAAACCTTGTTTTTTAAAATATTGCGAAATCATTGGAAAAATATTGGAAAGAAAAAATCAATCTTTCTCGATTTTTCAGCTTTAAAATTTTGATTTTTAAAGTATTGCAAAAATAAGGAAAAAAGTTTGGGATAAAAAAAATAAATTTATTTCATTTTTTTTAATTATTGCAAAACTAGGTGACAAATAAGGTGCCAAAAGGAAATAATTTTTCTCATTTTCTTACTTTGAAAATTTTGTTTTTTAAATAATTTTTTCTTAGTTTTCCAAAATTCTTTTTTTTGAGAGCACTTCAAAATATAGGAAATGCATGGAACCAAATATAATTTTTTTTACATTTTTGACTTCTAATAATTTTGTTTTTCTAATTATTGTGAATCTACGGGAAAAATATGGTACTAAACATGTTATCTCATTATTCCACTTTTATAAATTTGTTTTATAAAATATTGCAAATTTTGTGAAGAAACATGATACAAGAAAATTATTTTTCATTACTTTTTTTAAAATTTATTTTTCAAACTATTACAAAAATACAGTAGGAATATGTAACATAAGTGAATAATTTTTTGCATTTTAAATTTATAAGTGAAATTCAGTTTATTGGAATGTCTAAAATTGATACCATTAAGTATAAAATTGATAACAAAATTTTAATTTAATTTCAAACTTTGCAATTGACTTTGAAAAAATAAGTGGAAGTTACTCTCTAAACCTGAATCAGTAAAATTCCACTGAAGATCAGTGAAATTTGACTGAGAATCAGTGACTCTTTTCTCGCGATTTCAATCAGTGAAATTTCCCTGAAAATCAGTTAAAAATGACTGAAATATCAGTCATATTTCACTGATATTTCAATCATTTTTAACTGATTTTCAGTGAAAATTCACTGATTTAAATCGCGAGAATAGAGTCACTGAATCAGTAACTCTATTGAAATCAGTCAAATTTTACTGATTCAGTTTTAGAGAGTAATATAAGATTATAATTTTATTAAAAAAACTTTTGGAATTAATATTTTATCCATGCTCAATCTTCTTCTTCAGCTTCTTCACCACTCTCATCATCTGCTCTTTCATTGTCTTCTGAATCGCTATTCTCTCCTTCATTGTTACTGTCACTTTCTTCTTCATCAGTATTATCTCTTATAATTTTTCTGTGACTTTCGTATTCTTTCCTTGCTTCGTTGTTCTCTTTCTCATTATTAATGTCGTTATTTTCTTCTCCTTCACTACTATCTGATATTATTTTTCTGTTATTCGCATATTTTTTTTTTCCACCGCTTTTATCTTCTACACCATTCTTGACATTTTCACTTGTCATATTTTCATTGCTCTTGTCCTCAGTCCTTTGCTTTTTGTTTGTTTCTTTTTTTATATTCTTTTTGATTTTATCTCCTTCTTTCTTAGGGTGTCTTAATGTGCCGCATGTATTATTAATGACTTTTATCAAATCTTCATTTGTGAATTCATCTGGAACCGTTTTCTTCCTCTGTACGTAAGCTGAAAAATAAATCTATATTAATAAAATCAGACTTATGTCTATACATTGCTCAAAATTAATTTTTCTTGAATAGTTTATCATTTTAAGTAATGAAGATTCCAAATATGCCAAAAATAAAAATTTTGTCTGTCTGTCTGTACATTTTTAACAGTAAAATTGAAGAATTTTATTAGAATTGGTAAATTAATAATTCTAAATCTTAAATATGAAATTAGATATTGTAAAAAAAAATAAAAAATGTCTATACTAACTCTTTGAAATTAACAATTATTATTTCGTTGTCAAATTTTTCAATTAAACAAATATATTATTAATATTATTTAAATTAAACTAATTGTATACTGACACTCTACGTTTCATTAAAACTATAAAAATTTAATTATTTTTTTAAATAAAATAAATAAAAATATTTTTAAAAAAAGCCAAAAGTTTAGAGGGGTCGTTATTTTACATTATTATAACAATTTTTAATAATTTGTAGATAGAAAAAAATATTTTGTTTATTTACCAATATAGGAAGTGAAAACCCTTCGAAAACGGGTACGACAGATAGTTATTTTGTAAATATTTAACATATTTTTGTACAAGATAAATGATGAATTGCACTTACAGAGAATAGCAATTCTAATGTCTTCAGGAACCGCTGTATTCGATTTGCTGTGCCCTAACGCACACATTGTTTTTAATTGCTCTTTCTTTATCAATTCAAATAATAGCAATCGAGCTAAAATTTTGGGTTTATTTTTAAACCTGTTAATTAATATTAACTTCGATGATTTAATATAAACTGGTATCCCTTTTCGGAGTTGAATTAGAGGATCTGAATCCTTTGAATCGGCCTAGAGACAGAACAGAAAAATATTAGGTCGATCATGCATATTAATATATATATATATATATATATATATATATACTGGCAAAGTAGCTGAATCAATGGCTGATGAAGTAGCTGGAAAAGTTGGTGTTAAATTGATTGGTAACGTAGCAGGCGTTTCAGCTGAAATTCTTATCTTTAGAAACTCTGTCATCCTCTCAAAAGCGACAACTGTTTCCGGTGTTATGACTTATGAAAAAAAATTAATAGATTTACAAAAGTTTCTAATATTACATACCTTATTATTTATAATACAACACCATATTAATTAATTTTACCTAAATCTTTAAAAAACCTCTCGTAAATACAATTCTCATGAGGTTTCAAAGATCCAACTCCTCCAATGCTCCCATCATTCTCACGAAATTCAAAAACGTTGACAACTTGATCGCATCTATCTTCTTGAGCTACATAAAAATATTTATTATTATAAAAGTGACTTTTATATGATTAAAATATTCTAGGTGAAGCCAATGGCCAAAAGCCAGATTGGAGCAGGTAATGGTAAAAGGTAAATTATGTACAGGTCCCCATGTAAAAAGTTCCCGAGAAATTTTCGTGACTCTTCCGTAAGTCTCCCAAGAAATTTCCGAGAATTTTTCGTCAATTTCTGGGGAGAATCTCCAAGAATTTTTAATATTAATTCTTTTATCACTCCCGGGAATATTCCAGGAGATTCCCGAGGATTTATCGAAAGTGACTCCCGGGGAATTTCTTAGTCTATTTCCTGGGAACTTCTTCACGTCTTTCAAGACCTTGAAATTCACTTAAGCATTATATTACAAAATATATAAAATAACATTTATATTAACATTCATACATAGAAAGAGAATCGGAAATAAAATAATTAAGGTGGTAAAGTAGTAGTAGTAAAGTAGTATATAACACAGAAAAAACTTGGACTCATTTTTATTGCAACTCAAAACGAGTCTATGTTAAATGACATAGAACGTGGCGCCATCTACCATACTCGTTTTTGATGCGTATCAAATTGAGTATGAATTTCATACTCACTTTGAGAACAAGTTTTTACAGTGAAAAGGTCAAAATAAAAGAATTGGAATCCTCTATTGTACAATATGAGAATTTGTAAGAAAAGAAGAACAAGAGATTCTTCAATTAACAATTTAACGAAACAATTGAAGAATATTTAAATTTTAATTTATTGACTTTCAAAATTATTATTTTTATGAGTGTACCAGAAATAGCTGATGAAGTTGTTCCGCTCATATCAACTCTAATCTTCTTCGCTGTGGAACAATTGATTATTTAATAACAAAAAGAAAAAAATTATTATTACTTTATATTTCGTTTCAATGATTTGATTTGATTGAATTAATCAAATTGCTTTACCTGAATCTTGATCATGATCTTTTTCACTTAAAGATCTTTTTCGAATACCTTCAGTTTTTAACATGGGTCCAAATTTGTCAACATCTGCTTCGATTACCATTTCTGATATATAAAAGAGTATAAAATGTACGCAGATAATAATTTATATGGGACGCAAGAATACTCTTCACATTATACTTGTAAAAATTTTTTAGTTTTTAACAGATTTTAATTTAAAAACGCAAAAACACAGAATTACTATTTAGTAGAATTTTATAATGGAGATTTTATATTGAACTATATTTTAATGTCGAAAAATTTTTATTTAACTGAATTATTATTTAACAAAATATCCATTGAGATTCAATTTTGTATATAGCATATTTTTTTCGTTTAAACAGGATTTATATTTAGGTAAAATTATATAAAAAAGCAACTTTAGTTTAACACAATTGTCCTTTAATCAAATCCCTACTCATCTTAAAATTCCCTTAATAACATTTTGATTTAATTAAATTCATATTTAATAGAATTTCTAATATCTTGTCTAATTTTCTAAACGAATTTTCATTAAAATATTTATTAATTGAAGAAATTATTATTTATATTCAGTAATAATTAACTGATATTCTACTTAATTAGATTTTTTAATTAGAAAATTTTCATTTTACTAAAGTCTCATTAAATAATAATTCTTCGGTTAAAAGTGTAGTTAGGAGTAAAAGTTTTCGAGTTAAAAATCAACTCCAAAAGGGAGTTAATCAGTTAATTAACTCCAAAAGCATTAACTGCCTCAGCATAATTCAACTCATAAATCAACAAATCCCTTCGGTTTAACTCCGAAAAGGGTGTGAATTTGATAGAGTCCCAAAAGGGAGTTAAATTTTAACTCTCTTTTTTTACAATGTAATAAGTCTCTTGTGTAAAATTCTGATAAGTTGAAATTCTATGTTTCTTAATTCAATGCCATAAAAATTCCAACAATTTTAATATGAGGAGTTTTCATGCTCTCCATTTATATGATAATATCCCAAGCAAAAATTTCTGTCATATGCCAATATTAACAACAGGCGCAGTATTGCACCAACACTGGCTTGCCAACACTTGACTTGCCCGTACTGATCCAGTACTGGTATAAATAAAAATTCGGTACTGTGCCAGTACATTCTCATTACTGCGCTAATATTGTGTGGACAGTATTGGCAAACCAGTACTGGATATAACACCAGTACCACACAAAAAATTGCGTTGGAAAAAAATTAGTGATTATTTCCTTATAACTATTCCATTTTTAGATGAAAATTACAAACTTTTAGTTTAAAAAAAAAAAATATTTTAATCAAAAAATAGAATATGTGAAATTTGAAAATAATTTTTCTTATTTGTATAATTAAATTGAATTATAATTAAAAAAATCTTTAATTTTAATAATTATTTATCTTAATATTTATTGGATAATAATACAAAAAATTATATTTTCTATTAATTAATAATAATAATAAAAATAATAATAATAGTAATTCAACAATTAGTCTTTAATATTAATAATATATTACTAATAATAATAATAACAATAATATATTAATATTTGAATAAACGTTCATTATTATTAACAAATAATAATTCGAAAACTAAAAAAAATGAATAACAGAAAGAAATATTAAATAAATAAAGTGTTTCAAAAATTATTTTAATAATTATTACTATTTACTAATATTCAGATTATTAAATGACAATTGCTCACAAATTTGTTTAAATTAAATGCTTCAAATATTGTAATTACTGGTTCAAATAGAATTTGTTCAATTTGAATGAAAATTATTTGATTCTGGTAAATATTTATTTAATAATAGACAACTTTGCGTTTATTTATTGCAACAAACGATTTTTTTCAGAGTTGAACCTATATTATTTTCAATAAATTACACAAGTTTTTAAGAGTGGTTGTTCATATGAATTTATTTAATTTCGAATTGACTAATATTGGCTAAGTTTTTGCTTCATCAATTAGTAAAAAAAAAATAAATTATTAGTAGAAAATAACTAATTATTAATAGAAAATAACTAATTATTGATAAATAAATAACTAAGAAAATAGTTAAATTTCATTAATTATTAGTGGAAAATGACTAAACAAGTAGTAAATCTCAACTAATTATTAGTAAATAATTGATTATATGAAGATAGTCAGACTATACTAATTATTAGTAGAAAATAACTAATTATTGGTAAATAAATAAATAAGAAAAAAGTTAATGACTATAACATAATAGTCAGACTATACTGATTGATTGATAAGAATTATTAAAATTCCTATTCTATGGCAGTACTAACACGCTAAAATAGAAAAACCTTGTATAGAACATATTCTAGTACTGGCTGATTACTGGTTAGTATAATTGTGCCCATACTGGCTTGGGTAATGGAAGCTGTACAGAATCATTATTTGATGGTATATCATTGTTGATGGCAATACTGGCCAGTAATTGCCAGTATTGGCGCATTACTTCGCCTGTTGTAAATTTTTGCTTCGGGAGTTATTTATTTTTTGATAGTAAAACATAAGTTAATCGTCAATACAGTTCTATTTATGTTAAAATTAAGTAAAAAAAAAAATATGAAAACCAAGGAAATAAAGAAATGTTTCGACCAAAAAGGAAGAGAAACAATCAATAATATTGTACACCATTATTATAAAAAAAAATTTTTTAATTTAATTTTAAATTATTTTTTTTTTAAATTTTAATTATTTTTCTTATATTTGAATATATACCTTCAGAATGTGATGGTAAGATTGAAATTTTCTGCGAAATAACTTCTGTTTTTGTTATTTTTAATTTGTTATTTCCCTTTTTAATTAACGATTTCGTTGGTTTCTCTACTTTGTCTTTTTCAATTAATTTTGAAAACTGCTTTTGAAACATTTTTTCTGTTGAATTCCGCATTTTTGTCCTCAATAATTTGTTTGTCTTGTTTACTAATTCTTCTTCATCTTCTGGATCTTTATGTTCATTCATTATATTCGAAGATTTTACGTGAACTGTAAAAAAATTATTATTAATATTATTATTAATTTTTTTTATCACTAAAAAAACTTTTTGGTTAATGAATCTGAATTCTTGATAAATATACCCTTACTACTTTTTTATTATAATTACAATAATAATTTAATACAATACAGAATGCCCAGCTGTGAGAGAAGTCAGAGAACTTTTTATTCAGCAAATTTGATGAAATGTGAGAGAATTTTTTTGAAATATTAAAAGATGATAATTTTTTATTTAGTTGTATTATATCGAATTATTAAATTTTATTAGGGTATACTCAATTTTTTTTATTTATTAATATTTATTAAGAAGTTTTTAATTTAAGATAAAAATGAGAAAATTACTTGATTCGTGATGATTTTGAGCAGGCTCGGAATTTTTCTCTCTTGAATTAGATTTCGATTTTTCGTTGTCAGCTGTAACAAAGTATCATAAAATAATTTGCAAAGAAAATAATTATTATAAAAAGACTTAAAAAAGAATTATTATAAATATTTAAAAGAAATAAATTTCAAAAAATTTAGAGAAAAAGATATTTTAAAAGATAATAATTTTATATAATTATCGAACTATTAAATTTAATTAGGGTTTATTAAATATTTTTTATTTATTAATATCTATGAAGTAATTTTTAATGTAAGGTTAAAATAATATAAATACTCTCTAAAATTGAAGCAGTGAAATTTGACTGATTTTTAGTGATTGAAATTGCTAGAATAGAGTCACTGATACTCAGTCAAATTTCACTGATCCAGGTTTAGAGAGTACTTCATTCGAGATTCTATATTTTCAAAGAATCTATATTTGATTTGAATGGCTGAGAATTTTTCCCTCCAGAAGCTAACCAGAACTAACTCCTCCAGAACAAACTATGCTATTAGTCCTACTTTGAGAATATATTATAAAATAATTAGAAAAAATATTAATATAAAAAAAAAATTCTATTAATTTTTTTGCAAAGAAAACAATTATAATAAAAAAACTTTATTGTGAAAAAATTATTTAAAAGAAATAAATTTAAAAAGTTTGAAAGATAAAAATTTTATATAATTATTTAACTATTAAATTCAATTAGGATTTATTAAAATTTTTTGTATTTATTAATGTCTATAAAGTAATTTTTAATTTAAGGTTAAAATAATATAATTACTTAATTCGAGATTCGAAATTCGCAAAGAATCTATTTTCGGTTGGAATGGCTGAGAATTTTTTTCTCCAGAACCAGACGATGACTCTTCCTTATCGTCTGTAAGAAATTAATTAAATTATAACAAACTATTAGTCTTACTATGAGCATATATTATAAAATTATTAGAAAAGATATTTCTTTTGGAAATAATAATTTAAAAATGAAAAAAAATTCTATTAATTTTTTTGCATAGAAAACAATTATTATAAAAAGACTTTATTGGGAAAAAATTATTTAAAACAAATAAATTTAAAAAATTTACAAAGAAAAAAAGTTTGAAAGATAAAAATTTTATATAATTATTCAACTATTAAATTCAATTAGGGTTTATTAAAATTTTTTGTATTTATTAATGTCTATAAAGTAATTTTTAATTTAAGGTTAAAATAATATAATTACTTAATTCGAGATTCGAAATTCGCAAAGAATCTATTTTCGGTTGGAATGGCTGAGAATTTTTTTCTCCAGAACCAGACGATGACTCTTCCTTATCGTCTGTAAGAAATTAATTAAATTATAACAAACTATTAGTCTTACTATGAGCATATATTATAAAATTATTAGAAAAGATATTTCTTTTGGAAATAATAATTTAAAAATGAAAAAAAATTCTATTAATTTTTTTGCATAGAAAACAATTATTATAAAAAGACTTTATTGGGAAAAAATTATTTAAAACAAATAAATTTAAAAAATTTACAAAGAAAAAAAGTTTGAAAGATAAAAATTTTATATAATTATTCAACTATTAAATTCAATTAGGGTTTATTAAAATTTTTTGTATTTATTAATGTCTATAAAGTAATTTTTAATTTAAGGTTAAAATAATATAATTACTTAATTCGAGATTCGAGATTTGCGAAGAATCTATTTTCGGCTTGAATGGCTGAGAATTTTTCTCTCCAGATCCAGATGGTGATTCTTCGTTATTGGCTGAATTTTCCTCAAAAATAGCAGGCAAGTTTTTAATTTTTGACACTATATTATCCCTCGATTTTGTTTTAGCTGCTTTTATTTTATTTTCTTCGTTTTTAATGTCGCTCCGTTTTCTTCTTGTAATTTTCGACTTTTGACTTTTTTTTATGATGTAACCATTTTCATCCACATCCAAGGAATCTAAGTAGACTTTGTTCTCTGAAATTATTATTATTTATTATCTATTTTTTTTTTATTTATTATTTACTATTTATTTATTATTAGAAATATTCACTAGTACAAATAATACGAAAAATTAAATATTTCATAAAATTGGCTTTGAAAGATTCAATTTTAAAATTCTATGAACAATACTATTTTTTAAATTTCAATTTTACTCTTAAATTTTTTTTTAAATTTATTAATATTTTTTATTCTATTCCGTGATAAATTTTTTGTCTTATTAATAAAGAAATATTCTTTCATTCAAATAATTTTTAAACAATAAGGAAATTGAAAAAATTTTACCTCATTTTCAAAATTTTGCTTCTTTCTTTAATAATTTTACATTTTCGAATATAATTAAAATTTTCAATTTTATTTATTCTGTTTACTGAAACAGCAAAAGTAGAAAAATTGAAAAGAAAGAAAATATAACGGAAATAGAAGAAAAATAAGAAAATATGAAATAAAATACTTCTTCTATAATAAAAAGAATTATTTATTATACAAAAACGACACAAAAGAAATCAGACGAGAATAAATTGAGAATAGAAATTAAATTTTTTAAAATCGAGAGAGAAGTATAATACAGAAGAAAAATATACTGACCACTTCGTATAATGATGTTTCCTTCAAATTTTTTTCTCCCATAACTGACCACGACACTATCACCGACTTCTTTATCTTTCATTTCCGGCGTTTCTTCTAAAACTGTCCGGCTATGGTGATTTTTCCATTTAATCAATAAGAACATTTTACTCATTATATTTGACAGTTATCGCGTATGTATCACTTTTCGTTAGTTGCAGTTAGCTGTCATTATAGATCAGCAACTTCATTATAAAACTCACAATCAACTGTTTTTAAACAAATTACATTTTCATATAAAATTTGTTATGACAAAAACAGAATACTTTTATTTTCTTAGTTAGAAAGAGCGATTCAAATGTTTGAAATACCAATCAAATCTTTCTTCTGTCAGAAAAATGTGTCAAAAGCGATTCTAGAAAATATATCATTTAAAGACATATAATAAATAAATTAAACTAAATTTATTAAATTAAAAAATGCGAAGACGTTATCAAGATTTGGAAAATTATTCTTCCAGTCACCAAAAAAGAATAGCATCCTTTTTAAGAAATGTGGAATATAGTGATACGGAAAATAATTCAAATTCAGTAAAGCAATAAAAAATTCTTTTAATAAAATTAAATTATAAGATAAATAATATTAAAGAAAATTATATATTTTACATTCTCAATTTAATTTGTAAATATTAATTTAAAATTATTAAAAACGATTATAATAAATTTAAGAAATAATTTTAGTAACTTGATTGTCGCATAATTAATTTAATAATATTTTTATCAGTTTTACGAAATAAATTTTGCAATTTATTTATTTATTTTTATTTATTCTCATGCAAGTTAATGGGCTTACAGAAATGAGAAACGATCTTTTTTACTTAAAGTATTAATAAATTGTTAATTTGAATTTTCATATTTTCGTTCGGAAATTTTTTATTTGAAATGAGTGACATTTATCATTTGTCCGTTAGATGTCACTCCTTTCAATAAATTGTTAAAATTGAAAAATATATTTTATTCTTTTTTAATTACTAATTTTTTAAATTGTTGCAATTTTACGTTCTAAATCAGTATTAGTCAGTTTTGGTTTCATCTACTCCATATATTTTCGTAATAATAAAAATAAAATAATAAAATTTCAGTAAAATTCAGTTTTATTAAAAAAACATGTTTATACTCTTATCTGTTTTTCTTATAAATAACAGATTTTTATATTTAATTATATAATTATAAATATGAATGAGAAATTCCCTTCCAAATGTATATTTTGATATGAAGTAAATTCGATCAATGGAAGGTAAAGAAAACACATAAAACAGATTTATCTTATTTTTTCAAGTTGCGACGTTTCGATGGTTTTGTTTACCATCTTCTTCAGGCTGAATATTTGAAATAAAATACTTTATTAGATTAGTACTGCTTCTTCTCTCGAGGATATTAATGCAAGGATTGATGATGATATTATTATGCTCAATCCTGATAATTTTTCAATCGATTCTGACAATGGAATGGACAACAATATCGACGAAAATAGCCACTCCGACGTATATAATGACTCTGTTGATGATAACATGAGTGATGGTGACGATCTACATTTTGATACAGCGTCCAATGTAACATCAAACGATTTGCCAAGTTATTCTTCTGATACTAATTATGATGAATCAGGAAATTCATCAGAATTATTAGATGATTCCTTCGAGCTATCAGATAGTGAATCTTATGCATCAGATGCCAATGGTAATCATAATATATTTTCCAATAATATTTCAGTTATTGAATAATAACCCTGACAACACAAGGATATTCAGGATATCCATTTGCTTTCGACGTTTTGGATACCCCTGGGATATCTTAGGGATGTCCATGGATATCGAGAGGATATCCTAGGGATATCCGAACCGCCGAAAGCAAATGGATATCCTCAGAACGTCCCAAAGCTATTCTGAATATCCTTGTGTTGTCAGGGAATCAATTTGAATAATCAATTGAATAATCAACTGAATAAAAAATTGATAATTAATCTTTTATTATTTGTAATATGAAAATGTTCAAAAAGTTTTCTTATTAACAAAATTTATTTCCCACGTAAAAATAATACCAGAAAACTTTCGAGAATTCCCGAGAAATTTCCAGGTACTACCCGCGAGTTTCTCAGGAATTTCCTGAAAACTGCTGCTATTTAAATCTTGGGAACTTCTATGGAGTTAACTTCTGGGAGTTGATTCCTCCTAAGTAGCACGGTATATCACTCGATTGTCATGGTGATATCCACCGGGAATATTCCTGTGATATTCCTGTGATATTAAGAAAATATTCCCGTTTTTCAAATTTTTTATTATTAATTATTTTAATAAAGGTAATTAAAATAAATAAAATAAATAAAATAAATAAAATAAATAAAATAAATAAAATAAATAAAATAAATAAAATAAATAAAATAAATAAAATAAATAAAATAAATAAAATAAATAAAATAAATAAAATAAATAAAATAAATAAAATAAATAAAATAAATAAAATAAATAAAATAAATAAAATAAATAAATAAAATAAATAAATAAAATAAAAAAAAACAATAAAATAAATTTTATATATAAAAATTTTTTATATATTTTTTTTTATTACGTTAATTATATTAATTATTTTAATAAGCGCAATTAAAATAAATATATAAAAAATTTTAAAAAATTTAAAAAACGGGAACATTCCCTTAATATTACAGGAATATCGCAGGAATATTCCCACTGGATATCACTATGAAGCCGACATTTTGTTATCACCTGAATATCTCAGGATTATTCCCGCTGGATATCAGAATGATATTCGGGTGATATACCGTCCTACTTGGGCTGGGAAAATTCCTGAAATTTACCGAGAGTATCTGCATTAAACTTTAACAATTATTGAATTTCTCTAATGCTTTATTAGAATCACTAAGCGATGATGGCACTAACGATTTTGGACCAGAAAATAATGAGATACCAGTAAATGAAGATCCACCCTTATTTCCAGGATGCCCACTCACTTTCTCCGAAAGTTTATTAAGTATTCTTTCCTTGACATTGCGACACACCATAACAGGAGTATTACTGGCTTCAATACTACAATTAGTTCATTTACATTGTCCAGAACCAAATCATTGCGTGGAATCGATTTATATGTTTAAAAAATATTTTGAACACTTAAAAAGCCCCGTAAGCAAACATTTCTATTGCTCTAATTGCTTACAAAATCTTAATGAAAAAACTGACCAATGTCCTAATTGCGAGAATTCAAAACAAAATTATTTTATGACTATTTCGATCATTTCTCAATTAAGAGCTTTATACGAGAGACGTGGCTTTCGCGAAAAATTGAATTACCGCTACAATCGAGTTAAATTAAATCCACAAAATATAGAAGACATTTATGACGGCAAAATTTACCAAGAATTAAGTGCGGATGGAAAAATACTATCTGATCCAAATAACATATCATTTTCGTGGTATACAGATGGCGTAACGGTTTTTAAGTCTTCAAAATTTTCGTTTTGGCCAATATATTTAGTGATCAATGAACTTCCTTATTCTGAGCGATTTAAAAAAGAAAATCTGATTTTGGCCGGAATTTGGTTCGATGATAAAAAACCTGATGCCAATTTATTTCTATTACCCCTTTATAATGAAGTACAAGAGCTAAAAAATGGAGTTGTCTTTGAAATTGATGATCAAAATCTACCTGTCAATGTAAAGGGCATAATTATTTGTGGCACTTGTGACCTCCCAGCCAAAGCTCTATTTTTGAATATGATTCAGTACAATGGCAAATTTGGATGTCACAAATGTAAACAGGAAGGGGCGAGAATTGGGAAGATTCAAATTTATCCGTATCTGAAAAATCTGTCTTTGCGCACAGAAAGTGAAACTGCAAGTCAAGCTGATAGGGTGAATAAAGGTCCAATTTGTGGAGTAAAAGGGCCAACAGTACTTGCATTATTGGTGTATAAATGGATAACAACCACTGCGTTAGATGCGATGCATTGTGTATTTGAAGGGGTTATGAGAATGCTTTTAAAATTATGGTTCGATCCGAAGTATGCAGAAATGCGATTTTCTCTCTACAAACACCTAGATGATATAGACAAAAGGCTTCAAAATATTACTCCTCCTGGTTTTGTTCAAAGGCGACCACGTTCCATTAGGAAACATTTAAAATACTGGAAAGCCTCTGAACTCAAAAATTTCTTTTTGTACTTTTCCCTTATCATTTTACATGATAAAATGCAGCCTAAGTATTTTCATCACTTACAATTATTAATTGGAGCCGTCTATCTTCTCTGCCAACAAAGCATCTCAGAGGACATGATTCAAAATGCAAAACGAATGTTACACGAATTCGTATCAACATTTGAAAATTTGTACGACAGACGGTTTATGTCATGTAACCTACATTCTCTTCTTCACCTACCTGATGCAGTTGCTTCATTAGGACCACTGTGGGTATATTCTTGCTTCACATTCGAAGATATTAATGGGAAGTTAAAGCAATTAGTTCATGGAAGTAAAAGTGCAGAATTGCAAATTTACAATGGGATTTCTTTATACTTGAATATCTTTACTCTGAACAATGATTTTTTAAATCAGGGAACAAAAGTATTTGAATTTTGCAAAAGGCAATTATGTTCTACAAAACAAATGAAGCTCATTGACATTGGCAATTCTTTTTTTATTGTTGGTTGTTTAAGCCGATTACGCGTTCCAGATAACATAATGGATATATTCAAAGCTCAAGGAATTGGCAACAACTTTTTTGTTTTTAAAAAGTTATTTAAAAAACCTTTTCTTTATATGTCGGAAATTTATACTCAAGCGACTGTAACTAATTCGACTTGCGCAAAATACATTAAAAATGAAATAATTAGGTATGGAATGATACGCATGTTCGTCAGAGTTACAAATTGTTTTTGCCGACGAGTATGTCAGTGCGAGGCAGAACACTACGCTGTTATAAAAAAATGTGTCCATATAAATGCCTTTAATTACGCATGCTTGCCAGGTATTCGTTTAAATTTTGTCAAAAGACTTGAAATAGTACACGATGAATTTGAAATTGTACCTATAGATTCTTTAAAATCATTGTGTTTCTTAATACATCTTGAGGACATCAATATGCATTTTGCTGTTCAGCCTGTAAACACAGTAGAACAGGAGTAATTTTCTTTAATTACGATATGCCAATGATTAATTAAAGGCATTTTAAAAGATTTTCTAACACTTTATTTTCATGCTTAAGAGTTATTAAATGAAACGAATATATTGTCATCGTTATTTGTGTTTCTCAAGTTAGCGGATAACGAATACAGAGCCTGGTTACACCAAGTGACTTAAATTTAATCTTCCGAGAGGTTAAAATTACAATTTAATTAATATTTTTACTTTTATTCAAATTTTATGTTTTATTTATATCCTCGTCTGCTTAGAACACTCAATAGAATATAAACAAAATATAAAATTTTAATAAAAGTAAAAATATAAATTAAATTATAATTATAACCTCTCGGAAGATTAAATTTAAGCCACTCGGTGTAACCAGGCTCACAGTTAACTAAAAAACTTCGATCAGTTGCAATAAGTTTTTGAATTAACATTAAGTTTTAAACCTGAATCAGTGAAATTTGACTGAGAATCAGTGACTGTATTCTCGCGATATCAATCAGTGAAATCAGTCATTTTTCAGTGATTGTCCAATTAAAAAATTACTGGAAATTTCTGTAACGCTTATTGAAAATTTCAGATATTTCTTAACTGGACAATCAGTGAAAAATAATTGATATTTCTATCATTTTTTCAGTTAAAATTTACTGATTGTAATTGCAATATATGCAATATGCAATTTCCAGAAACAAGTCAATATTTTTTATTTTGTAACTATATTACAATGTAAATGTCATTAAACGAAAATACATTTAATATTAATTAAAATTTAATTATTAACTGTACAGTTTTATTCTTAATATTAATACTTATAAAATTTCAATTACCTCAAAAATTCACTCTGCATGTTATCATGTATGTGGAATTTCGAATGTACAGTAGTAAAGCAGCTATTCTATTCCAATCTTTTTCCCAGACTTTTGCAATACTTTGAAAATTCAATTTTTAAAGTTGAAAAATAGAGGAAAATTGATTTTTTCTTTCAAAATCTTTTTCCCATATTTTTGCAATACTTTAAAACTCAAATTTTTAAAGTTGAAAAATAGAGGAAAATTGATTTTTTCTTTCAAAATCTTTTTCCCATATTTTTGCAATACTTTAAAAATTTAATTTTTAAAGTTGAAAAATTGAGTAAAATTGGTTTTTTCTTTCCAATCTTTTTCCCATATTTTTGCAATACTTTAAAAATCCAATTTTTAAAGTTGTAAAATAGAGGAAAATTGATTTTTTCTTTCCAATCTTTTTCCCATATTTTTGCAATACTTTAAAAATTTAATTTTTAAAGTTGAAAAATAGAGGAAAATTGATTTTTTCTTTCAAAATCTTTTTCCCATATTTTTGCAATACTTTAAAACTCAAATTTTTAAAATTGAAAATTAGAGGAAAATTGATTTTTCCTTTCAAAATCTTTTTCCCATATTTTTGCAATACTTTAAAACTCAAAATTTTTAAAGTTGAAAATTAGAGGAAAATTGATTTTTCCTTTCAAAATCTTTTTCCCATATTTTTGCAATACTTTAAAAATCAAATTTTTAAAATTGAAAATTAGAGGAAAATTGATTTTTCCTTTCAAAATCTTTTTCCCATATTTTTGCAATACTTTAAAAATTAAATTTTTAAAGTTGAAAAATTGAGTAAAATTGGTTTTTTCTTTCCAATCTTTTTCCCATATTTTTGCAATACTTTAAAAATCCAATTTTTAAAGTTGTAAAATAGAGGAAAATTGATTTTTTCTTTCCAATCTTTTTCCCATATTTTTGCAATACTTTAAAAATTTAATTTTTAAAGTTGAAAAATAGAGGAAAATTGATTTTTTCTTTCAAAATCTTTTTCCCATATTTTTGCAATACTTTAAAAATCAAATTTTTAAAATTGAAAATTAGAGGAAAATTGATTTTTTCTTTCCAATCTTTTTCCCATATTTTTGCAATACTTTAAAAATTTAATTTTTAAAGTTGAAAAATAGAGGAAAATTGATTTTTTCTTTCAAAATCTTTTTCCCATATTTTTGCAATACTTTAAAACTCAAATTTTTAAAATTGAAAATTAGAGGAAAATTGATTTTTCCTTTCAAAATCTTTTTCCCATATTTTTGCAATACTTTAAAACTCAAAATTTTTAAAGTTGAAAATTAAAGGAAAATTGATTTTTCCTTTCAAAATCTTTTTCCCATATTTTTGCAATACTTTAAAAATCAAATTTTTAAAATTGAAAATTAGAGGAAAATTGATTTTTCCTTTCAAAATCTTTTTCCCATATTTTTGCAATACTTTAAAAATTAAATTTTTAAAGTTGAAAAATTGAGTAAAATTGGTTTTTTCTTTCCAATCTTTTTCCCATATTTTTGCAATACTTTAAAAATCCAATTTTTAAAGTTGTAAAATAGAGGAAAATTGATTTTTTCTTTCCAATCTTTTTCCCATATTTTTGCAATACTTTAAAAATTTAATTTTTAAAGTTGAAAAATAGAGGAAAATTGATTTTTTCTTTCAAAATCTTTTTCCCATATTTTTGCAATACTTTAAAACTCAAATTTTTAAAATTGAAAATTAGAGGAAAATTGATTTTTCCTTTCAAAATATTTTTCCCATATTTTTGCAATACTTTAAAACTCAAAATTTTTAAAGTTGAAAATTAGAGGAAAATTGATTTTTCCTTTCAAAATCTTTTTCCCATATTTTTGCAATACATTAAAAATCAAATTTTTAAAATTGAAAATTAGAGGAAAATTGATTTTTCCTTTCAAAATCTTTTTCCCATATTTTTGCAATATTTTAAAAATTAAATTTTTAAAGTTGAAAAATTGAGTAAAATTGGTTTTTTCTTTCCAATCTTTTTCCCATATTTTTGCAATACTTTGGCAAGATTTTAGCAATGTTATATGATAAAAAAAAAAGTATGGGAAAGGCTCATAAGCAATGGTTTGTGAGCTTTTTGCAATTCTTTGAAGTATGGGATAAAACTTAAAAACAATGGCGAAAATCTTCTCCCATCTTTTGCCAGCTTTTGATAGCTTTTTCCCATAGTTCGTTTTTCACGCGGG